CACTACAATAAGGAGTTGGAAAATTTTCTTTGAATTCTATTCAAACAAGGAGATAGCAATTTTGTTTATTCCTTCCTAAGTTAGGAATCCTGCTACATTAAGGAATAGTCAAGTTAATTCCCAGTAGGAAGTGTTAGAACTGATTTGTCTTTCTTGCATTGTGTTTCAATCGAATTTCCATTTTTTTTCTTTTAATTCATTCAATTTGTTTCTTTTATTGCTTTTCTTGCTGGTTCCTTCGTGTCCTTTCGTTTCCTTCAACTCTTGTTGCAGATTTGTTGAAGTTAGATTGTTGCAAAATAACTTGAATTGAGCTTGTTTAGTTGAATAACGAACTGAAAGAGGAAAGTTGAGTGAGGGAAAAAGGCAAAAGGTGTGAGCAACACTTGAGAGAAAAGCCAAGTTCTACAGTGTGCGAAACACGAGTGTTAAGTGCCATTCTGTGAGAGAGTGGAGTGAAACATGTAAAGGAGTGTTGTGAGGTCCTTTTATTTTCTATTTCTAACATTCCTTGCAAGTTTCAATCATGTCAAGCGGTGATGATAAAAAACACCAAGTGGATGATTCCTTCATGCTCAAAGCTATGCAACAACAATTTCAGAGGCTAGACATCATGTTTGGTGAAATTAAAGACAAAATGGAGAAGCAAGATGCAGCCATTGCCAAGTTATACCAAATACAGAATGGAAGTCCAAATTTGCATAATCACAATCTTGATGACAATGATGAAGATGCATTCAACGATGATGCCCAGAGCTCAAATTTCAGCATGGACAGATTTATGAGAGGTAGAAGGGGTCAAAGATATAGATTTAACAAAGGAGACCAAAATCTGGCAAGGTGGGGAGATCGGCAAGATCATGACTTAGGCAGCATCAAGATGAAGATTCCTTCATTTCAAGGCAAAAATGATCCAGATGTGTATTTGGCGTGGGAAAAGAAGGTGGAATATGCCGTTGATGGAGAACTGCTGGTCACTAGGCGAGCTTTGAATGTGCAAGCCAAAGAAGATGATGAAGTACAACGTGACAATATATTTCACACGAGGTGCCATGTCAAAAACAAGATATGTAGTGTGATTATTGATGGTGGTAGTTGTACTAATGTAGCTAGCACTGTTTTAGTTGAAAAGCTTAATTTACCTATGATGAATCATCTAAGGCCATATAAGTTGCAGTGGTTAAACAATTGTGGAGAAATCAAGGTAAATAAGCAAGTTCTGGTTTCATTCTCTATTGGACGATATAAGGATGAGGTACTTTGTGACGTGGTTCTTATGCATGTTGGACATTTACTTTTGGGGAGACCATAGCAATATGATAGGAGAGTAACACATGATGGCTTCAAAAATTGTTATTCGTTCATCATGGAAGGGAAAACAATTACTCTTGCACCATTGAGTCCAAGGTAGGTTTATGAGGCTCAACTGAGAGTAAAAAAAGAAAGTGAGCTGAGAAATGAGAGTGAGCTTGAGGGTATGAAAAACAAAGAGAAAACAACCGAAAAAGAGTCCAAAAAGAGAGAAAAGATTGAGAGTGTTGAAAACAAAGAGAGAAAATTAGTAAGTGTTTATGTAAAAGAAAGTGATGTCAAGGCTGCGTTCTTTGCAAACCAGCCTATGTTTGTGCTTCTGTATAAAGATGCTTATTTCAACGCTAACGAACTTAATGATTCTTTGCCTAGTGTTGTTAAATCTCTTTTGCAGGACTTCAAGGATGTGTTTCCAAATGATGTTCCTAATGGTTTACCACCAATAAGAGGAATCGAGCATCAAATTGACTTCATTCCTGGTGCAACAATTCCAAACCGACCAGCATATCGAAGCAATCTCAATGAGACGAAAGAACTTCAAAGGCAGGTTGAAGACCTAATGAAAAAGGGACATGTGAGAGAAAGCATGAGTCCATGTGCAGTTCCAGTGCTACTTGTGCCTAAGAAGGATGGGACTTGGCGTATGTGCGTTGATTGTCGCACGGTCAACAAAATCACTGTAAAGTATCGTCACCCTATTCCTAGATTAGATGACATGTTAGATGAGTTGCATGGTTCTTGCATATTCTCTAAAATTGATTTAAAAAGTGGATATCATCAGATTAGGATGAAGGAAAGAGATGAATGAAAAACAGCCTTTAAAACAAAACATGGTTTATATGAGTGGTTAGTTATGCCATTTGGATTAACTAATGCGCCTAGTACATTCATGCGATTAATGAATCATGTTTTGCGTGCTTTCATTGGCAAATTTGTGGTTGTTTATTTTGATGACATTCTGATATATAGCAAGAATTTAATTGAACATATTGAGCATGTGCGAATGGTACTAGAGGTGTTGAGAAAAGAAAAGTTGTTTGCTAACCTTAAAAAGTGTTCCTTTTGCACAAATCAGATTGTTTTCTTAGGGTATGTTGTTTCAGCTGATGGAATCGTAATAGATGAAGAAAAGGTTAAGGCTGTTAAAGAATGGCCGACACCTAAAAATATTTCTGAGGTACGGAGTTTTCATGGTTTGGCGAGTTTCTACCGGAGATTCATCAAGGATTTCAGTACAATTGTAGCATCGTTGACTGAAATTGTGAAAAAAAGTGTTGGATTTAAGTGGGAAAGTGAACAGGAGAATGCTTTCAATTTAATTAAGGAAAATTTAATTTCTGCACCCTTACTTGCTCTACCTGATTTTACTAAAACTTTTGAAATTGAATGTGACGCATTAGGTATTGGCATTGGTGCTGTTTTGATGCAAGAGTGGCGACCTATTGCATTTTTCAGTGAAAAATTGACTGGTGCAGCACTTAACTATCCTACTTATGACAAGGAGATGTATGCATTGGTAAGAGCTTTAGAGACATGGCAGCATTATCTTTAGCCTAAGGAGTTCGTGATGCATACTAATCATGAGTCGTTGAAGCACTTGAGGGGACAAGGTAAGTTGAATAGACGACATGCTAAGTGGGTGGAATTCCTTGAGACGTTTCCCTATGTGATCAAGTATAAGCAAGGAAAGGAAAACATTGTGACTGAGGCATTATCTCGTAGGTACACACTTATCTCTACCTTAAGTGCAAAGTTATTAGGTTTTGAGCACATTAAAGAATTATATGCTAATGATCCAGATTTTGCTAATGTGTTTAATGCATGTGAGAAGATTGCTTTTGATAAGTTTTATAGGCATGAAGGGTACTTGTTTAGAGAAAATCGATTAGGCGTGCCTAACTGTTCCTTAAGAGAATTGTTAGTAAGGGAATCTCATGTGGGAGGCTTAATGGGACATTTTGGAGTTAGAAAAACTTTAGATATTCTGAATGATCACTTCTTTTGGCCACACATGAAACGTGATGTTGAAAGGATCTGTGAAAGGTGCATAACATGTAAACAAGCAAAATCTAGAGTTTT